GCTTGAAGATAAGCTGAAGCACGGAAAAAAGGGAGAAGAAAGGTATGAAGAAAAAAGAAGATTTGCTATGATACACTGTCTGAAGGAAGCCGATCTTATTGGTTTAACGACAACAATTGCAGCCAAGTACAATTGGCTTTTGTCGGAAATTAATGCAAAGATTATCATTGTTGAGGAAGCTGCAGAATGTCTGGAAGGTCATATTATATCAAGTTTGAACCAAAAAACCCAACACTTGATCCTGATCGGTGACCACAAGCAGTTGCGCCCCAAAACAAACGACCATATACTTGCACGTGAGTATCATCTGGATGTGTCACTTTTTGAGAGACTTATCAGAAATGGTTTCCCGCATACTACTCTAAAGCTGCAGCATCGAATGCGGCCTGAGATATCTGCTCTGGTTTCTTCACATATATACAATGGTGCGCTTATGGATGCACCCGTAACCAGCTCTTACTCTGACGTTAGTGGAATGAAATACAATGTGTTTTTTGTAGATCACACAGAACCAGAAAGTACATACCTGGAGTTAAACAGCAAAGACAACGTTTTTGAGGCCAGGTTTTTAGCACAAGTGTGTAAATATTTACTCTTCCAGAAAGTTTACACTGAAGAACAGATTACTGTTATTACACCATACACTGGACAGATGTTTACCTTGAGAGACAACTTCAGTGACATGCCTAACGTGAAGATCATACCCATTGACTCATACCAGGGAGAGGAAAATGATATCATTCTTGTCTCACTTGTACGAAGTGAAGCACTAGGATTTGTTGCTGACCCAAGTCGTGTCTGTGTGGCCATGTCTAGGGCAAAGCACGGCCTCTACGTCATTGGAAATTTGTCTAAGCTCTTCATCACCAGATCCAACTTATGGAGATCTCTTGTAGACACAATGAAAAAGGCAGGAAAATTTGGGACATCTCTACCATTAGTGTGTAAGGGACATGGAACAACCACAGAAGTCTGTACTCTTGATGATTTTAAGTTAGTAGCCGATGGTGGATGCTTTCTTCCATGTGTTTCACGACTTCCCTGCAGACACATGTGTCCGCTCCTGTGCCATCCCGACCCTGACAATGGGGTACATGGCAGAATTCAGTGCAAAGAGATTTGTCGTAGATTATGCAACAAGAAAGCTCACCGATGCAAGAAAGTATGTTGCGAATGCAGCTCTAATAGATGTGGCCCATGTAAAGAAACCATAACAACAGAAATCCCGCAATGTGGTCATCTACAGCATGTACCCTGTCACTGTGATCCAATGTCTTTTGTATGCCAAGAAGCTTGTGGTTTTGTTCTCCCTTGTGGTCACAGATGTTGGAAAATGTGTGGTGAGAGCCACGCCCTGGAGTGCACCGAGCTTATCACGCGAAAATGTCCAAAGCAACATGAAGGAAAGGCCGATTGCTATCTCACGGATGAACTCTACTCACGACGCTGCAAAGCTGCTTGTGAAGAGCCCCTAATGTGTGGTCATCCTTGCCAAGGAACATGCGGAGAATGTCGTCAAGGCCGACTTCATAAACCATGTAAAGAGAAATGTGACCGAACATTGACATGTGGCCACACATGCTCCAGTCCATGTGCCCATAATTGCCCACCATGTGAAAAGCAATGCCCAGTTCTGTGTCCACACGGTCCATGTGGGCATAAATGTTTCCAACCTTGTCTTCCCTGCCCCCACGGGTGTCAACGTCAATGTGAACACCAACAGTGTTCTCAGATATGTGGCGAGAAATGTGACTGTGAACCATGTAGTAAGCCTTGTTCAATGAAGCTACAATGTGGCCATCAATGTATGGGACTATGCGGCGAGAAATGTCCAGACGTTTGCCGAATATGTGACAAACACAATTTCAATGAAAAGGTTCCACTAATATTTGGAACCGAGGAACTTGAAGAAGGGCCTAATGAAATAAGAATTATAATGCTTGATTGTGGGCACATGTTTGAGGTTCGCTCACTTGACAAGTATATGAAGATGAGCATGGAAAACAAGATTCAGTGGAAACGATGCATCATATGTAACAAACCAGTCTTTATTACAAATCGCTACAGAGACTTGGTTGTTGGAATAACAGAAGATTTGAATCAAATAAAAGATAAAGAGAAATCATTTAGTTCATATGAAAGGAGAAAGTACATGAACCAAGTTGGAAAACTTGTTGAGCGTACAACCATGTTAAAACATCCAAGACATTTTTTAAGCCACATGGAAAGTTTGTCCGATAGGCGATTACAATGCGAATACCACATTTTTTATGCTGAACAAAGTGTGGTGAGGGCAACTGAAGATATAGAGGGCGAGAAGGCCACCATCACTTCTGTCATATCAGGCCACGTTGCTAAAGAGTACCTGAAATACTTATTATCAGCAACGACCTCACTGCAGTCACAAGCAAAGGACTTTCTGAGCAAGTTACAGACGTACCGAACATTTGTACTAACAGATCAAGTGATACATGATATTAAGGCCGAACAACATCGAATTCAGTTACTTTCAGCTGTACTGAAAATGCTGCTTCAACTAAAACTATCTTGTAAAGCAATAAAATCCACTGATCAAGAGAAGCTGGATGGATTTTTAAAGGATCTTGAAATCGATGTTGGCAAACACTTCACAATGAAAATGCGACCTGTTGAATTTGACTCAAGCATGCATTATATTGAACAACTAAGAAAAGAACACCCACAAATCTTCTCCTATGAGATCACTCAGGAAGAAAAGCAAATGATTGTCCGTGCTCTTCGAACAAAACCTGGTTCATGGTACAAGTGCCCAAAGGGACATGTCTATAACATTGGTGAGTGTGGAGGGGCCATGCAAGAAGCCTTGTGTCCTGAATGTAGATCTGCTATTGGAGGGGCCAGCCATCGTCTTCGAGATGACAACACTCATGCTGGAGATTTCGATGGTTCCCACCACGCAGCGTGGTCAATTGGAGCAAACCTGGGAAATTTCGACCTTCGTGACCTTAGGTAGCTTAAATTAATTTGACAGTTAATAACTAGCTATAGCGACTCTATTTTGTAAAAACACCAACTTTTTACAATGAAACTTGCAAGCATACCTGCCAACCGTCCCGATCTGGTTGGGACAGTCCCGATATTACTACGTTAACCCGATGTCCCGTCCGCCGGTGCTGGAATTCCTCGTTTGTCCCGATATACTATCTGCCACACCCATGTAGTGTACGACGCAAAGCGCACACAACCGTCTCCATGCGCAACTGTCTTTCGCATGTGTTTGAATTCATTAAGACTAACGAGTACTGAGACAGGTTATTCCATGTACACAGAGAGTTTTAAATTTACAAGAAATGAGATCTGAAAGTGAGTGTTCTAGCAAATGGTACAACAAACAGGTTAAGTATAGTGCTTTGGTAGGAAGACACCAATATCAGTATTGATGGAGGAAAATACCGAACACACACACAATTTTGTATAGTCCAAACAATCTCTATTATTCTCTGAGATGAGAGTGTTAGACTGAATATTTCAGAATAGCTGAGATGCAATTTTTTAGCAGATCCTAAAAGCAAATGTTTGAACTGACTTGAGTTCTTTTTGAGTATGTGGGTCCCATAGCTACTATGCTGGCCATACTATGCTGGCATATTCAAACATAAGTCGTACAATACAGGTTTAGTCGCAGCAAAAATAGTGAGTTTTCATACAACCAAGTAGTTGCTTTGCCCTCTGAAAAACATTAGTTATGTGGGTACTCAATTATAAGTCAGAAGTTACTATATAGCACATCAGGGTATTTTGTAGCTATAGTGACCGGTTCATTAAAGAAAAAGAGATCTGGCATAGTTGATGACCTGTGTGTAAGCAGCATGCACTTACACTTGGTGTTGAAGGTAAGATGCTTTTCCTCTACCCAGCTTTTATTGGCGAAATTTGTAAATTTATCCAGTCCCCCTCGTTTGAAATAATTATGCTTGTAGAGTACAAGATCATCAGCATACATAATAAGCTCACTGCAGTTGGAGAGACTAATGACACAGGGAATTGACATATTTATTATGAAAAGCAATGGCCCATGCACTGAACCCTGTGTGACTCTTGTGATGACTGTGAGATTGCTGTGATGTAGTACCACTTTACAACACCTTAGGGATCAGCGTTTGACAGGTAATTTTGTATAAGGGCGATAATATGTGGATGGAGATTTAGTTGATGCAATTTGGCAAGCTACTAGCGGGAGACTACGAGTAAACTCATACTAATACAGCTCAGCGCCATCAATTTAGCGGTACATATACCGCCCATGCGCACTTCGCCCATGCAGGGTTTACACTTTAGTTTGATTAGTAGCCCTACCGCGACCGCGCCACCCTTCGCTGTGTACACCTTTCAGTCACAAATTAATGTAAATTTTCACACTTCTAGAAACATGAACAAAACTCGCACGATTGTGAACTTTGAGGTAGGCAGGCGACATGGCAGATGTTGCTCCAAACTTCCCCTCATTCACTACAACTACACAATGAACAGTTCACCTATCCAAGAAATCAAATGCCATCCTCATCTTGGTATGTTTATGTCTTGCGATCTGAAGTGGAGAAACCACCTTATGTTTATATATATCTTCCCGTGCTTACAAAATTTTAGGTCTCATCCGGTGCTCCTTCTCCTCAGGATTGCATATCTCTGCTAAAAGGAACCTGTAAATCATGCTCATTCGCTCTCAACCCTCATAGATCTGAAGGCCTCTCCTCATCAAAGACATCTCGGCACTAGAACCTATCCAGCGACGTGAAACTTATTTTGAATGACTTTCACTCAGACTATAGACATCGTCTGCATGTTGTCTCTCAATCTTCCACCCCTGATGAACGATGCAACTCCAACTCTTGATGTTCTTCATTCGCTGCCTCAAGAATCCCAATACTTCAAATGCCTTTTGTATGCTCTCCTATATAGCTATGTCCATTTTTCTAAAGGAATCACTGCGCATCAAAAACTAACACATTCACTATCAAAGTCTAACGCGCTTGCTCACCACGACACTGGAACTCTCTCCCGCCAATCAATCTTGACCTTTCCATTCCCACCATTAAAAGTTACCTTCACCAAGTTTTCTGTACCAACTTTAGCTAATTCTTGTTTTCTCTGTGCTGACCCTTGTTCATTCCATTTGTGCTAAGTGTTTGTATTCATCCATAGCTACTATTTACTTAGGACATCAGCATTTCTATCTGGTGTTCCTTCGTACATGTCACCATAAATGCTTCTACCTTCACTGTCTTTCTGTATAGACTGTCTCGTAAACCACCCACGCACCCGTCAGAAGTGGTCAGTCGGCACTTAAATATGTGGCGGTCGGAGCTTCGATGTCTACCCTTTCAAGCAAAAAGGTCCGGATTGAGTGAGACATGTCATAAACGTCTCAGCCGGCTGAAAGACGGCACAGAGGCTGTGCGTAGTGTCTGTAAAACGGCAGGGGGAGAAAGATCGCCACAGAGCGCGTGCGCAGCTTGAAAGGGGTGTGTCGAATCATCACGCCTCTGCGTACAGGACCGTTAACGCCGAATGATGTTTATGCTGATATATATACAACGCCGTTGGTAAACACAATCCACAAAGTACAAACTGTGGTTTGTCAGCCTTTGCGTTGCGGAAATCGCTGCGCAAGTCGGAATGCCTCTCCCTTTTAGTGGGCCCAACGGGTCTGGGCCGAGGCTATGTTCATGCGAGTGCAATTCACCAGCAAAAAGCATTCTGCCTCTGGTGGGGTGGGAAGCACACAGTACTGATTATTTTCAGCAAAAAGCTGCAGGAGGGTTGCTCGGAGAGGAGGCTGGGTTCGAGCAAAGGTGTTCCACACGACGTATAGGTTTGCTCGGGGCTGCCGCATAGTAGGTAGTCTCGGTATATACTAGACCCCGCACAAAACTGGTCTACTGCCCCAGTAACATAGCTATATCTTCCTGCTTCCACTTCCTGAAGACCTACCCCGACACTACAGGGCCCATTTTTTGCGCATGCGTGTTTCCGCCTACAAGCTTCAGCAATCTTGACTCTGTATCAATGACAGTTAGACCCTGGCCTCTTGATTGACGAGTATCCGTGGCACGGGCTACGATAAAGAATGGAGGATAGCTGCCGCGGTGTCGGATTGCTTGGGATGTCTCAACAAACTTTCTGCTGGTAAAAGTCAGCTAGCTGGAGTTAGCTCTAACTTTATTCACGTTTTTGTCGTTTACCAGAAAGAGACATTTGGAGGCTCAAGCTCAATTGGCTATTTGTGATACTTTGTCTCTTAATACGAGGTGTGAATATGATATGCGTCATACCCACCAACCACCAGTTTATCGTGAATCCGAAGAATGTCGGTCTCAACGTAACGGCGAGGTAGTTTACAACTTTGCGTACACCATCAGAATGTAATAAACTCTGCTTCATGCGTATATAGTTACTTATTTCCCTCCCATAGTATCTACCTGTTAGGCTCAACATCAAAGAATACCATAGTAATTTTATCAAATGCTGCCCACATTACCCACTCGCAATGTATGGGGGAATGCATGGGAGCAATGTATGGAAATCTGAGAAGTATATCTGGAATGCAGTGGTGCTTCAAGAGCTAACAATTATTTGGCCACTGACCTGTTATTAAAGCCATGAATTCTGCGGCAACAAGGCAAGCATCACCTAGTAGGTTGCTTCATGCAAGGCCGTGCCTAGCAGTCAAGTATAGATCCATGCAGGAGCCACCTTGCTAAAATGAAGCAGCAGGCCCTTGGGCTCGTCCACATAACAAACCAACTGTTTTGCACACAGTGACTCATGCTGCAGTCGTACATCTCACTGTCGCCGTGGCAGTACTGGCATGTCCTGGGGTCCACGCATGGCATTCTCTCTCCTAGCTAGCGGCAGCCCTCCCCTTTCGTCTCAATGACGAAGTCATAGTGTTGCCATAGTGATTATCCATTTTCAAAAGAGAAATCAGCAGTGCGTCCTCCGTAGAGAATGTATGGAAGAAACAAAGGCTTTTCCTGATGCAAAGCCAAACTGGTCTTAGACTAGGTTTGTAGGTCGGTAGGTCGGTAGGTCTGCCTCAAAATTAGGAGCTGGCGTACCCCTGGTGAGATACATAGTAATAACCTGAGCTATATTTAACCCTTTGGTAGCCATGGGTATCTCCTTAAATAAGCAGAAATTGACGTATAACATATTACGCAATACTTTAGCAATTCTTATTGACTTGTGGGGGCTCTGGGCATATATACATTCCCGTGGCTGGCAAAGGGTTAATGGTCCATCTGGCTGTACTATGCAATCCATTATAGCGAAAAATATTGTCGCTTGAACCTGCCATTCACGTGACCCTGCCACACCCCTTAGAGGGCCAGATACTTCTAACAAAGGGCATAGCAGGCCAGGTGAAAACAAAAGTCCCGTACAGACAATACATGGGGCCAGGCACCTTTTGCTGCATTCTACCATTCACTCTTATGTAAATCATAGTATAATAGTAGTTGCCTTCTTACCCTTTCTTGGTTTGTCGGACCATCGACAAAACTAGATGGTCCTATATACAGTCTGATACCATTGTGAGGTGTAGGTGTGAAGCTAAAGTAGTTGAGAGAACCAAGTGTGGTAGGTTCCAGTCCAACTAAGCATGTGATCCCAGAGCTTAATTCCACCTTCCAATGTGACACTTTAGCTAGGGGAAAATTTAAGTATGTGCTTACCTGAGGACAAGACAGACTACTCTGAAAGTAACTAGGAACAAAATTTTGTCCAGGGTCTAACTCATGTGTGGTGACTACAAATCCAGTGGAATGCAATAACTCCCAGAAAAAAAGCAGGTCTTTCCCACCCTAATCTCTGGAGCTGAGCTATGTAGCTGCTTTTTTGGATCTTGGCAGCAAGGATATTAAGTTATTTACCAAATTAGGTTGGATTAAGCTGCTTTTTTGGATCTTGGCAGCGAGGATATTAAGTTATTTACCAAATTAGGTTGCATTGCTTCTTTTGGCACTGGAAAGCTTTCCTCAAGACTGTTGGGGGTGGGATTGAAAATAAGTGTGCAGATACCTTACAGAGGGCTGGGTCTTAAGAGGGAAGCCATATGCATGATTTGCGAGAGGAGAGCTGCATGATGACAGAATTGACCCTGGTAACACAATGCCAAAAGCAACTCTGAAAATTGTGCATATACTTGTGCAAAATGTGTCATGTCTTTTCCAAAGGCCTTCAGAGAATGTTAGCTACTGGACACGCAGGCAGAGATGGATTTGAATGTTGCACAATCCAGTCTGTTGATAATTTGGAGATGACTGAGTTGAGATTGATGCCTATGTGGCCGTTTGTGCTAGAGGATCCCTTGAGCTGCTTTTTAAAACAGAATAGTGTAATACCTTGACTGCCAAGTAATGGTGATACATGCTTTACCTTAGCCACTTAACAATGCATTTTTTACTCCTATTTGATGTCCTCAGCAGTGAGCTTATGTCCTTTCTGAACTGTCACTGTGCTTTTTAAAGCTTTCTTCTTCTGAACACTAAGGTAAAGCATGTGTTGATTGCCTGTGACGTGTTTAGCATGCCAAGAGTAATGAGTGGCAGACAACATACATAGGATTTGGGTGCCAAGCCATTGGTTAGGATTATGACATCATTACCACAAGGCACAAGAGGTGGATTGGTTGCACTTTCTAGGTTTATACTCATGCTGTTTGTCCTTCTCTTCTAATGGTGTACCACTTTTGGGCTTGTTTGGTAGCAAGTGATTTATGGTCAAGGTGCAATTAATTATACACATGTGCATACTTCTGCTGTTGGATATTGACTTTCAGATGACTGGGTTGGCTTGGTTTGCTCACCAATAAGTATGTACTTGGAGGCCGCAATAGCAGTAACACCCAGGATACTAAGAGAGCCAGAAATCAAATCTCTGGTGCGGTCTTACCATCTAGACAACCAAACTTACCAACCCCCAGTGATATACCCTGCAGTTCACTTTTGGACTCTTGAACACTGGTATTAAAGTGTACACCGACGCCCTATACAGCGATGGCACAGGTCAATCACGTGATCCATGTACACAAAGTCTCAAAACACGGCAACAATGACTTGCTATGCCTTGATGACACAAAAGCAATAATCAAAGAGCCTGTATCTAGTAACCCGTATCACATGCCCAACGACTGTACATGCCCTCAGTTCTCTACGTGAGAATTCGCTCGTAAGCTATCATGTAATCATTCCTCTTATCTTTCTTCGTAATCCTGCTATCTCCTTACTGGATGCAGTTGAAATGCTACAATAACAAATGGGCAGTCGCTCTGCATAGTAAAAGCAGTAAATCTAGGATGAATGTGAATGTGTCAACAGCAAGGTGAGATAAAAAGGCTAAGGCAAAAAACCAAACAAGTCAACTACTCCCAGTAGAACTCTTTTTCCAAGGATAGGAAGAGCTGAAGTGGGATTCGAAAATGACAAGACTATTGCTTAGTCATCCCTTCTTGAGATCTATATGGGGGTGTGAACTTAGCTCTTTCTTACCTCCCTATACCTTTCTCCTGTGTATACTATTACCTATTTTTGTATACACATACTTTGACAAGTAGTCTTCAAGTATGGTATATAAAGCAAGGAGACAAGACAGGAATGACCTAGTGAGTGTATAGGACAATGGACGATGGCTACATACTTCAAACGGACATCGCTTGCTCGTGTAAACAGGTAATGCACTCTCTTCGGTTTTGGTTGTGACAGTCTAAGACTTCTACTAACCAGTTTTACAATGCTGCGTTCTTGGCTATCTACAGAATCCCTTCACGATCGTCCTTGCACTTTACACCATTTACTAAACAAACTCATGTTAGTGGGTAATAGGACTTGTGTGGAGGAAATTATTACACGATCAAGCGATGTCAGTTCGAAGTATGTAACCATCATCCAATGTACTACTCCATCACATATTCTAGGTAATCCCTGTCTTGTCTCCTCTTAGTGCATAGCTGATTCGAATCGACCAATCAGATTTGTTAGTACGAGGTTCCTGATTTCTCATATGAACCTCGTGAGCTAACAAAAGTAACATGAAAACATGATATTAAACCTTGTTTTTTCTGTTGATTTTCAACAAGTTCAACAGCATTGCATGTAAGAAATGTATCCCGCAAAACATGATCTGTACAAAATGTTGATCAAAATAACTGATATCTTGATTTTCTTTTTCCACGAGACAGTTTTCTGTGTCTGCTTTGAGCCCATCTCCCTCCTTGCCATGTATATACATAGTAGATAGCCAGGCAGCTCACGCCCGCCACAAACCACCGCACGCAAATAAGGGGGTGGGGCTCCGCGAGTGAGTGCGCGCGACAAAGCTACTAAGTCTACGGCGAACGCCTTCGGTATAGCGGCCCGCACAGCGCCTGAATTCGCCTCTGTCTGATTGCGATGGTTCGCGCAGGTCTCCTGTCGCGTTTCTTCGGATGAGTGGCGGGAGTCCCGCAGCGGGAGTAGCTAGAGCGGCGGAGCAGCGTATCCTAGCGTTCGGCGTTCAATAGTCCCGCACAAGATGACGGTCTTGCGCTCTCGTCTCTTTCTCGCATCTTTCAAATTCCCTGTGCTTGGAAACGCGGCAGTGCGCGTATACGGAGCTGATTTGCTCTGCACTAAACATGTTATGTACTCCGTATACTCGGGACATACCGGATTTCAATGAACCCTCGGGCCATCCGCGTAGTGCCCTCGCTGCGCTCGGGACACTACAAACGCGGAGGCCCTCGGGTTCATTGAAATCCGGTATGTCCCTCGCACGTAGTACATAACATATATTTATACCATTCCTACAGTCACCATCTTTTTAAATCGAAGAATTTTTATTTACTTCTCTCCTTTCCTTTTTTACTGCATTCACATGCATGTTTTGGGGCATAAAAAATTAACATTAGTGGCTATGGCCTCAGATGTTCTGTCGTCATTAAGACATCAGTGCACCAAGTTTAATTGTGAGAGGACCCACCATAAGCAAGTTATATTATATAGGCACAACACCATTTAAAATTATTTTTGCCTGAGGCTGTTTGTTTTACAGACTTGTAGTTTCTGTTTCGATGAACTCTTATCATGGTACCTCAGTGTACCAAATTTCATTGTGAGAGAACCCACCATAAGCAAGTTTATATAGGCACAAACACAGTGTACATGTTTTTATTGCCTGAGGCTATTTGTTGTTATTTACAGACTTGTAATGTTTACATAATGATGGTTTCCACATGTTTTACCCTTCTAGTATTGGCATTAGCTAGTTGTCACTCTTTTATTGGTTTATCATAATGTATGGCCTAGGCTATATGTTCACATGTAAACATTGTGTACAAGATTAATCCACTATGACATTAAGCACACTGGGTAATGGAATCCTATCAGTGTACGTTTTATCTCTATATATACCAATCATGGTTTTTGAGATACGCTTGTCGAAACTGAACATGACAACAACAAAAACAACAACAAGAAATCGAAGATATTTATGTATTTCTACAGGACATTGAACCCGGTCTTGAAGAGAGTGAATCTTTCTACACACTCACCTACACTGTTCTGTTTTTGGGCCATGCGATTGGATCAATAGTAGCAGGACTCCTGTTCAATTACATCCCAACCTGGTACCTATTCCTTTGCAGTACTCTTTCATTCATATTTGGGTACCTGCTGTACGCACTGGCCTCCAATGGCTGGATGATGATACTAGCTCGAGGACTTGCTGGAATACAACTAGGGACCAGCACAGCTTTGTCCTTTGCCTATTTTGGTGTTAGCTTTGAGAAATATACTGAGAATATAAAATTACTTGAGAAGTATGAATCGAAAAAGGTGGCTAGAGTTAAGAAGTATCTCTTTAGCACTTATTCCATTGGAACTTTCTTTGGAAGAGTTGTTGGAATAGGTGAGTGTACCACAATTAATTCCAGGCAGGGAATATAAGCTGTTGGCATATCTATGCTGCAGGTTTTCCACTGATCTTGGCCCAATTTCCCAACACTCCGCAGTTCAGGACAGCTGGCTGGTTCTGCATGGCTAGTGGAGTTGCTCTATTACTAATGCAGCTTCTCTTGTTTCATGGAGAGTGTGCATGGAAGTGTCCGAAAATAAATTTCATGGGATATCAGAAGAAGCTGTCATCATTTGGGACACTTAATTGTGGGGAAGTATTTGTCAAGATAGTTGTATCCATTCCTCAATAATTAGCAAATGGTCTGAAGCATAATGAACGATTCTCTAAACTCATAGCCTCAAAAGCAAGGCCTTCTCCTTCCTCTGAGTGTGCATGCCTTGTAATTGCACGTGGAAGTAATGACGGGGAGAGAGGGTCTGCACTATGGTATCACGTGATTCATGCTGCGACTGTCATCAAGGGTCATGGTGTGACTTGAAAGAGCTGTGACATCGTTAGCTATATAGCTTAACCATACCCCCTCTATGAAATGCCTGCCCTGAGTGGTTATAGGCAGGTCGCTGCATGCATCACATGATGAAGTCGCCCAAGCCTTTTCCGTCCGTTTTTGCTCCCACATGTAGTTGTAGGAATAAAGAGCATGCATGCAACGAGGACTGATTTCGAGGCATAATTATACTGACACACAGATCCCTGCTCCAGCCAGTTAGCAACAATTCCTGAACTAATAAACAGGTGCCAGTGTATGTGATAATTGTTGGAGGGCTAAAGGGATTGCGCTATGTTGTCAATGAAGTTCTGATTAATCCGATTGCTACTGACTCATTTGGATTTTCGGATGAGGATATGGGCATACTTCTTCATCATCAATGTTGTGGGTGCATTTGTTGCTTTAATCCTGCTGTGAGTGAATCCTTCTGTTTAAGATATTAAAAAAATTATTTTGTCTTTTTTGCAGGTATACTTTTCAGTATTTTAAGATTAGCAGCTACCTCTTGACTGTGTTGGGAATGGTGTGCACAATTATTGCACTGCTGATAATAACAGACTGGCAGGCCATTGGCAGAGATCCATGTACAGAGTATAGTCTGTTCCACCATCCAGAACTTGCCGACCAGTACAGACTAGAGCTAGTGGACTCTAATATCTCAGAGTCGGGGATGGTGAGTGTCCAGAGCCTGCAAGTGGTTGAGAGAGACGTGTATGAATTAGCAGTAAACAAGTGTGAGTCTGCAGGAAAGTACTGTCACTGGATACCCAACTCTCGAGTGACTCACACACATTGCAGTGACTGCCAGCCCATCTGCAGGAGCACCAAACATACCCTTAACTTCATTCAGTTTGTGATTGGCCTGTTATTATTCTTTTCAACCCTTCCTCTAGCATTCACCGGGGTGTACCTGCTTCTTTCAGAGTCGGTCAGCAAATCCTACCAGGTATACCCAACAATGCAGCATATTAATTTTACAACCTGTATATAGGCTCTGCTGTTAGTGTAGATAAGTACAACCAATTATGATGGATGACAGGGACATGCTTTACTTAGCTCATTGTTGTTCACAGCTTAATTGGTTTATGGTATACATTGTTACTCGATCTGCCCTGATGTTTAGCTTATCCAATGCTGAAGTAAATTAATGGGAGTGATTGGTCATACAACTTTCTAGATATAATTATAATGCTTGCCTGAATACAGCACAATAACTTTCTCGTACACACATCCTGGCCATATGAAACACTGCCCGTAACTATAAGGGGTAGTATGAAGGTAGAGAAAAAGAGTGGCTACCCAATAGTAAAATCAGATCAATAAAATGTTTGTTCATGGAGATAAGGGAACACACTTTCCCTGACAAATTCACAATATATCACAATAGGGAATAAGCACAGGAATGATGACTGCTCTAATGGGTGCATCAAGGAGTGGATTTTCCTCAAATACGTGAGATTGTTCTCATTTACTTTGTAGGTCCTTAAAGATTTTTTTCATTAATGCAGTGGATTATGTATACGAGCATGAGCAGAAAAGGAACTACTTGTCTATGCTGATTCAAGTTGGGATATTTGTACCACTGCTCTGTGGACTGTTACTCCTCTATCCCTGGCTCGCTGGCAGGTACAAGGCCGTATATTCTGAGCCGACAATGAAAATTGAGGAGAGTGAAAAAGTGAAACTTCTAAACTCTAAGTAGAAACTGACTACATTTCAGTTGTAATTGATTGTTCTGTAAAAATCTGGCGAATTTAAAAATAGGGTTATGTCACATAGTTAAGCACCCATTCTACATTTATTCAACTCAACGTTGAACATTTTATTATTTCATATTCCTCATAACACCATAGTATGTGATCATCAACAATAGACATTCAGGTATAGTCTGGTGCAATGGTTTTCTGATCAGAGACTCAGTCAAATCATCAGCAACACTCTCCCTTGTAAGGAAGAAAACATGTTTTTCAAGTGAGGGTACAAACCCTTCTCACTTTACTGAAAAACTTCATGCACATGCAAAAAGCGTGAATGTGCAGGAATAATTATTGCAACACGTGTAGGAAGAATTTCAAAAAGTGGAGGAATAATGTATACTGGAAGAATTTAAAGCTTCCTCATATTATTATGAGCAAGTTGTGCCAGAAACTTTATACATTTTGCTTGAAATTCCTGCACATTTAACATTAGGAAATTCCAACGCATTCCCCATACATTATGATAGGTTTTCTAAATGAGAGTGTTCAGCTGCAGGAGGGTCTTTTTCACTAACAGAGGGCAGAAGGGTGAGGCCCAGAAGCTCCCAGGGGTTCTAACAATAAGTAAACAACAGCAAATAGCGAACTGGTACTCTTTTATAGTTCATCAGAAAAATTAATAACGATCAATCAACCGTCAACAAGTAAATATGCGAATTTAAAAAGTGTGGAATATAGGGATGCCATAAAAAGCAAGGAGACAAGACAGGGATGACCTGGGCAGAATAGTACAATGGGATGATTGTTACATCTTCTAACTGACATTTCTTGTCTTACTCATGACATGAGTTTTGTGTGAAGACTGTCAAACGAATTCTGGAGGGGAAGCAGCATTGTAAAACCAGTTAGTTGAGCGAACATTGAAGTAAACACAGTCACGATTCAAAACTGAGGACCTGTCAGAGAGGGCATTCGCTACCAGTCTTACATGCATAGGGAACGAGTCATAGCACATGATACGATAGAGATCACTCGTGCTTTGCGACAATAATAGGGCTTGTGTGGAGTAAAATTGGCATGAGCAAGAAATGTCAGTTTGAAGATGTAACAATGTACTCACATGCCCAGCAGGTCATCCCCTCTTGTCTCATTCCTTTTTATGAATTCATATTCACGACCCGTGTATTGCTCATGCGCAATGAAGTTGATTGGACTCGCAAACGCGCTAAGGATCTAGGAGGTCCCACCGACCGAGACCTGGGTACAGACCCGCTCGATCGTAGCCCAGGTGTCGCCTAGAGCGCACTGAAGCTCTACTCTCGCACCGAGATGGCCGGTCCCACTTCGCGAGCCCCTTGATTCGAGGAGGAGCTCATCGCCGAATTGGAGGATACAAGAGGAGTTGGAGTCTGAAATGGAGCGGTTACAAGAAGCTACGGCAGCAGAGAGTTCGAGGTTATGTAACGAGGTGAGTGAGTTGGAGGAGAAAAGTAAGACGAGAGTGAGAGCATTGCGGAGCATGAACTGTGAGCGTTTAGTTGAGCATAATCACATGATATCTACGAAGGATGAAGAAATGAAAGTGCAAACCCTCGGCGAACTGCGCTTGCGCGATACCTCTAAGGGTCCTTCTACGTGTAACTTTCCTTCACACTACATCATAGGTAGCTATTAGTGGTATAGGTGGTAATGCTGGTAACTCAGGTAAGGCTGGTATGGTAGGGATAATGCTGGAATTGGTGGTAATGCAGGTAAGCCAGGTATGATAGGTAATCAAAGGTAACTAGGTATTACTGGTATAGGTGGTAATGCTGGTAACTCAGGCAAGGCTGGTATGGTAGGTAATCTTGGTATTGCAGGTAACTTGGTATAGCTGGAATTGGTGGTAATGCAGGTAAGCCAGGTATGATAGGTAATCTTAGAACCTCTCATGAATAATTCCCTTTGATGTTGAGTGTAGTAATCAAGTGTCTAAAACCCGTAGTACTAGGTCTGCCAGGTATCTAAGTACTAAGTCTCTAAGTTGCAAGTTAGATCACTGTGAAGAATTTAGATCACTGAGGTTTCACAAAGGTTAAATCCATAATAATCAAGGAGTGGGAAGGCCCATTTGCTCCTAGCTTCGAGACTGCTGCCGAGCTCATCATACAAGCATCGCAGCGCTCAGCCCGCATCGCTTGGACGATTTGTTGTTGGTCGCTAGTCAGGCGTTTCCCGGTAGAGCCATGTATATAGCTGATTTCAACGTCTCTGACTAGCGACAAACAACAAATCGCGTCCAGATCAAGCGACGCGGGCTGAGCGCTCCAGTGGCACCGGCAGTGTCTTGCTCCGGCGGGGCTTGCAGGATATATACGTCCAGTTGCTGCGATGCTTGTACGATGAACGCGTCCTGCTCGGCGGCAGTCTCGACTGAAGCTATGAGCAAATGGGCCAACGAGCCTAAATTCTGGCGGGCAGAGCCAACTGGGTAACGGGTCTTGCACACTATCGAAAAGACTAAGCGAAACTGCGCTCTCCGTGCCGCGGTTCTAAGCCAGTTAGACCACTGAACTCGTCTCTCCTCGGTTTGAAAACCCTCGTGGGTCGGGATGAGAATGACGCAATAGTGACCTCGGCTCCGCCTCGGTCACTATTGCGTCATTCTCACCCCTCCCCCTCGGGTTATTCAAACCTCGTAGTGACTCGTTCCAGTGATCTAACCTATACAAAGGTAACTAGGTATATTATATTACTGGTATATGTGGTAATGCTGGTAACTCAGGTAAGGCTGGTATGGTAGGTAATCTTGGTATTGCAGGTAACTAGGTATTAATGGTGTAGCTGGAATTGCAGGTAAGCCAGGTATGATAGATAATCAAAGGTAACTAGGTATTACTGGTATAGGTGGTAATGCTGCTGGTAACTCCGGTAAGGTAGGTATGGTAGGTAATGGTTAGGTTTCAGTGCTGTTGCATTTAGCCTTACAAGGACACAAGGACAGGAAAATATAGAAACTGGGCCTTTTTCAATTCTTCAGTATTTTGTACTAGTAAATATATTGGACTCTGGGGAAGATAACGGGCTTGAAATGGATGCCAAACAATTTTAAGTACATACAAGCAGATACTAGCCATCAGCAGCGATATAAATCCAAGGACTGAAAAGGTATTGATTATTTCATGCAATTGTATTTACCAGAAAAATCTTACAATCATCTCTCAACTATGCCACAATCAGATATATAGAAACTGGACAGTGAACTAATTTTCTTCAAGAACACTTCCACTACGTTCTTTCAAAAGTGACCTCGTTATGCAACATTAAAACTATGATAAGAAACCTATTTACATGCAATTACATTACCAGAATCAAGAATATAGGATTCTGTCTCACCGGAGTTACCTGCAATACCAGCAGTTCCATCATTGCTAATGTATACCTGTGTTACAACAGCATAACTAGGATTATCAGCAACAATCACTTGCAACACCACCTTTACTTGACAGATTGCCAGCTAACTATATCAGTCATATCTGTCTAGTACCCACCATACCAACCTTACCTGAGTTACCAGCATTACCACCTATACCAGTAATACCTAGTTACCTTTGATTACCTATCATACCTGCATTACCACCATTTCCAGCTATACCATTAATACCTAGTTACCTGCAATACCAGATTACCTACCATACCAGCCTTACCTGAGTTACCAGCATTACCGCCTATACCAGTAATACCTAGTTACCTATCATACCTGCCTTACCTGCATTACCACCATTTCCAGCTATACCATTAATACCTAGTTACCTGCAATACCAGAATTACCATCCTTACCTGAGTTACCAGCATTACCTACCATACCAACCTTACCCGGAGTTACCAGCATTACCTACCATACCAACCTTACCCGGAGTTACCAGCATTACCTACCATACCAACCTTACCTGAGTTACCAGCATTACCTACCATACCAACCTTACCGGAGTTACCAGCATTACCACCTATACCACTAATACCTAGTTACCTTTGATTACCTATCATACCCGGCTTACCTTATTGTTCTTCATTTGGTATTGGTTTTATTAGTGATGTCACTATGATGTAGTGTGAAGGAAAGTTACACGTAGAAGGACCCCTAATTAATGGGCCTATTAGTCTGCGTTTACCCGTGATCTCCCGCTAGTAGCTCGCGGAGAGTCTGACACGGGCTAGCTACAGTAGTAGATAGCATGCGGGAGTCGATACACGCCCTTCGTTGTGACTTCTTATGCCTCCGAGGTATACAGAGCAAGCGGATCAGGTCGAGGTAAGCTAGTGCTAATTAGCATAGTGGCTTGTTCACTTGGTTTTCACGCCATAACTTCTGAACGCAGAACTTTTACGAAAATCGCAATCAAGCCAGTGTAGCGCTGAACCCGTTGGTGTCGCTATTTTACCTGTTTGTTGCACGTGGTAGCCGAAAACGTGGTAACAGACAGACAGACAGACAAACCAAGTACTGTAACCCTCGCTGCGCATGCGCGCCGAGGGTTAATAAGTAGACTGAAGACCTACATAACGGAATAACGAGGACTGAAACCATCTGTTCGTGTGGTGCATTCCCCGACCAGCCCCCCCCCGCGTTGTCCCTATAGTGAAACTAGTCTGCCTCAGGCTGTTCATACTAAGACAATCCTGCTTAAGTCTGTGGACCTAGGCCTGGACTGGATGACCCCGCATGCGTCACGACTACGACCCCAGTAGTACCCGCTGGAACCTACAGTAGTCCACTTGTCTAGTAGTCCTAGTGATTTCGACGGAAGAATAGTGCCTGGCAGCATTAATTTCCAAAAATGCATTGCTAAATATATTTTCTGCATACATTGTAGAGACTTCTAGTGTTCACAGCAAGAATCAGCATAAAATATAGATTACCTGAGCATTATTTTGATTCTGAATGCGAAAACTAAAATCTGACCAATCAAATTGCAGCGTTTACCATGGATACGATGATGTATGATGACATAATGACAATCGCCGCGTTTTCACACGTGCGTTAGTTACGGTGTTTTATCGGGAGAGATAAGCAACACAAGGAGAGAGAGAGTTGCAGACATGGCAGATAGAAAGCGCTGGAGCACCAAGAGGAAGATGAAGGAGAGAAGTGCCAAGCTGGTGGCTGTGAAGAGGGCGCGAGCGAGCACTGAGAGCAGCAGAGCTGCCATCACACCGTCATCTCCAGAATCTGACACCTCGAACATCGCTTAAACCTCCAGCTCAGTTTCAGCACTGCAGCGTGAGAGTCTCCAGGTCTCCGTAGACCCCAGCGAAGGCACCTCGAAGATACTGGAGTGAGCAGTGACGAGTACGAGAGCGAAGATGACAACTTCGATGACGAGTGCACCCAAGAAATCTTCATCCTGTGTCTCGCCACCGACGACCGATGTATGCTGGCAGTACTCCTATCTGAGAGCTTAGGGACAGAACGTTGTTGATGCAGCACGTGAAGCTGGCTCGATCGTCAGATGCACGACAAGACCGTCCACAAGTTAAGGAAGGAGTTCTTCGAGAACAAGGGGGTGCTGAAGGAGAGGAGAGAAGGCAAGTACGGGCGACTGACCATTTACTGCGACGAGGAGCTTAACGAGAAAGCAGCCAAGTGGGTGAGGGTGATTACATTGTCCAAAGGCAAGCCGAACATGACTGCCCAATCTTTCTGCCAGTGGGTGAACGAACTTCTGCCTTTCTTCTGAGCTCCCTGTGGGGATATCGTGTGGCACTTCAATACGTTGGCTATTCAAGCCTGTCAGCCATCGAAAGGGGGTCTATGGACTACGGGAAAGAAGGGGGTTGACGGACACGAGAGAGAAGTCAGAGAGTATCAGCAGGCATACTTGGAAGGAAATAAGGCTGGGAAGGAGGTGGAAGCAGCAGTGAAACGTTACAAGTCACATCGTCACACATTTACCGAGGAGATTTGAGCATTCGTAACTTTCTTATATATATATACTCCTGCGTTTTACAATTCTGTAACAGCCATTTTGTTGTGTTTTTGTACTATTTTGTGGTTATTTTTGTGTAGTTTTATTCTGTATGGTTAGTCTTAAAGTTCTGTTTGTGAAAAATTCACACTTTCCCTATAACTTCCTCCCTGACGTGGGGAAAGTCCCATTGGTATAAGTTGCGTAAACTCTAGTTTACCCAAGTAAACCACTACCATAATATTATGACTTCTCGCTGTAGAGTCTTTCGAGTTTTCTGTACGGATAAAACTGTTTTGGGCAATAGTTAATGTACGGAAGTCAGTGCTGTGCACGTAATAATGGTACGAGGGACAATGGTCGAGATAGTCATAGAGCACGAGGCGCAGCCGAGTGCTGTATGATCTATCGAGAACACGTTCCTAGTACCATTATCCCGCGCACAGCACATGCTTCCATACATTAAGTTTATTGTATGCGTGGGCGATTCAAAAGGCGGCGACCAGGTGTTTTGCACGTTCAGAACGGAAGAGAGGTGAGAAGCTCGCGGAGCGCCCTTCTAGCAGCGGTTTGTGTCACCGTTGAATTCGAACTCCGTCTACGAAAAGGCCACCGAGGGCATCATTCCCGCAAAACATATGCTAGTCGGCGGATATAGTTCACTAGGCAGTGGCCAGGAAAATCTTTTTTTTGCAAGTTCAGAACGAAAGAGAGGACGAGAAGCTCACGGAGCGCCCTTCCAGCAGCTGTTTGTGTCACCGTCTGAGTCGAACTCCATCTATGAAAAGGCCGCCAAGGGCGTCATTCTCGCAAAGCGTACGCTAGTCTGCGGATATAGTACAGTTCGTGTGATATAGTGCAGTTCATTCAAAAACTGTTCTGTATGTTATGTTAAATATAGTACTGGCGGCGCCTTTGATTCGCCCACGCAAAATGCAATAAAGTTCCATCTAACTGATTCTCAAAGTTTTACATGGAATGGGTATTGCAATGTGGAGTTATAAATATCAACTATGGACACCTATGCTGTCAGGCACTAAAGCACGGGCTCCAGCGGTGGTGCGTTAACGAAACATCTTTCCAATTTGTTATGTATCTTATTCACTCCAGATATGTGTGATTCTTGCAATGGAAGTTCGTGGAGTAGAGGCATTTTTCCTGTGTCTTTCTTCGGATAACTCCGTGGAATTCATCCATTATAGGATCATTCTTTATGAACACTATGATCTATCATCATGCATGTGTATTGTCAAGTCTCACATTATACATGATGTACTTGTGAAGGTATGCGATGAATATGCATAAGAATGTAAAACTGAGTGCACAAGGCTATATCATTGCTAAGTGTATGCCATAACATTATGCTTGTAGATGATCACTAAAATTATGATGTTTGTTACTGTGTAATATAGAACAAAACTATTGTTGACAACAAAAGTTTCTTCAAGTTTGCTAAACAGAGGGTAGTCAGTCTCAACTCCAGTTAAAAGTGCACATGGTTTCTGGTAGGTAATGTAGCCAATTTTTATCAAGTTTGCCCTGTTCAAATCATGAAGGACATTGTAGCTACTTGCTGTAGTTATGCAAAGAGCTAGCAGACACTCTAATGTATATAATTATGTATTACAGCTTACCTCATCATATCATCACTCAGTCACACACTAGTACTAATATATATATAATATGAACTCGTGCACCCACCCTCATTCATGTTCATGACCTGTGTAATAATATTACACTGTGCCTATTAGTCATTATCAAAACTGGCAACTGGCATCTGCAAAGCAGGGGGTGTTTTTGTGCTGAAAATCATGGTTTGTGAGGCTGTGATCCTACGAGCAGTGCAGGTGGTATAATTAGGTATGTAAGCTCTCAGACTAATGTTCTTGTCTTTTGTATTACTTTTTACAGTCATTGAAGGCTCATTGCATGGCCAGTTTTGATTGGCAGTAACTCCATGCTATGGAATGTCTCACTTTCATAACTATAGTTATACACACAAAACTTGGTGCAATTTTGCATCATCCCTATGGCACCTCATGCCAACAAAAATAATGGTATCAGGCAATTGTGGTTCTCCTGGCCCTTTTATACAGGACAAGCTGGCTATTATAGCTGCCCCTTTAGCTTCAATAGTCAGACAAAGAAAAGCAGCAAAAAAAGAGAATCAAGGCCAAACAGGAAGAGTTCAGAGCAGCGAAGGGGCTAGCTCAAACACGAAAAAATAATTGGCAAACAAAGCGAGCCCACCTAGTCGTCTGAATTTGGGATTTTCTATAATTATGTTGTGACCTGCACTTACAATGTTTGACTAAATACGCGCAGAAACACATGCGAAAAATTGAAATACCCACTTTTCTCACCAAAAATGCGTTTAGTTGCTAAACTATTATTATCATGATCGGCCGGGTGATGTGACACAAGACACAATTTGCAATAGCTACTGAGACTGCCACTGAAAAGTGTTGCGATCCATCCCTGGAGGCTGCTGCTGTTGTTGCTGTTGCTGTTGTTGTTGCTGTTGCTGCTGTTGTTGCTGCTGTTGTTGCTGTGCTTGCATTGAGGCCCTTTGCATTCCCATCTGCATCCCCATCCCTCCCTGAGACATGGCCTGTGTCTGCTGCTGCCTCGCCATCTGGGAGGACTGGGACTGTTGCTGCTGCCCCAGCCCTCCACTCATCCCCAGTTGGCCCATTACATCAGGCATCTGGCCACCCATCATACCTCCTTGTTGTTGCTGTTGCTGGTTCATAGCATGGAGTTGTTGTTGCTGCTGTTGTTGCCTTTGGAGCTGCTGCTTCTGTAGTCGCAAGGCATGGACTCTCTGCAGCAATGACTGCTGCATCTCAGGGGTGAGCTGCGGCATTTTCTGAAACAACTGCTGCTGTTGTTCGGGCGAAGACCTCTCCAGTACCATGATTATTTTTTCCAGTTGCTTATTCTTTTCTGCCCTTGACTGTGACATTTGTTGTGGTGTGGGCTGAGGCTGCATTCCAACCATGTTCATAGGAGCGCTGACATTCATGCCTGAAATCATTGATGGATCTGCACTTGTGCCTGGCTGATTGGGTTGTGGGGCACTCATGATCATCTGCTGTTGGCCTGGCAAAGCAGAAACGCCTGAATGTTGGGGGAGCTGCTGGTTCGCCATGAGCTGCTGAGGGCCACTCATGCCCATCATCTGACTTGGCTGTGAGTGAAAAGATAAATGACAGATTTTGACTGGAGTTAAGACCAAAAATAGATCAGCAAACTCAAACATGTTGTTCAATGTCTCCCATGACTAAATCCATGATGATGAGGGTTGGTAATAAGTACATATGTGCTCTTAAGAATACCAGCTGCTTCAACTTAGACACAATATTCACTAATTCCTGTTACGAGTACCTGTCTTCGGCTAAACACCTGCTTCAGGACTTCAACAAACTTTTCCTGCAAAAAATCATTGACATAAAAAATAGTGCACCAAGCCATACATCTCCCAGAAATGGATTTTCTTTTGAACGGGAATGTGAAACTATAAAATTCTCAAATACTTAGTATTGCCAAAAAACCAGTAGCGAAATACGACCAATCAGAATGTAGGATTTAGTCACGTGAAAATTTTTTGCGATCTCAGAATCCCGCCAGTCATGTGCACGTACGTTGCGAAAGACGGTAAACACGTGTGTGAAAGTAGAAATACTTTAGTGTGACAATTTGCAACGATAGTTCTGCTGACACTGGGAGTTAGCATCAGCTCACCTATTATCGCCACTACCCACAGTTGCTGCCGTATTATTGTCGAAAATGGGCGCTTCCTACCTACGATTGCGCATGCTCTTTAGAAGGCCCAGGGGCCACCAAATGACTACTCTGGGAGGCCTACTAGAGGTCTTTGGGAAGGTTGTGAGAATAAGGGGCTCGGGGGAGTTGGAACTTACACAACAATCACCGAAGCTCAGCACACGCCTCAACCAAGCAGACCTGGAGAGTCTGAAGGGAGTCTACGCCTCGTCGACCGTGGCGCTATGACATGTGTAGGAGTTGTGGATTTTTTAGTGGAGACGGTTGACGCTACAGTTCTCGCAGTAGGGGAAGTTAAACCAGAAACCTCAGCAGATTGCCAAGTTCTGGCGCCTCTCCTAGCCCTGAGGTCACATCGAAAGGGGTGCATCACTTTTCAGAAGAAAATATACATGACGCAGAAGTTGACAGATGTCATAGGTTTTCTAGATCATCTGCTAGCTCTTGCTGTGGAAACAGAGAAGCAACAACCCCAAGTCACAGAACGTAGTCTTTCCCCCGGGATGACAGAAAGGGGGGCCAATTTGTGCACTCACACACAAAAGCTCAATGCAGCAAATGAGCAATGGCAAGGTTTTTCACCTCCGCGAAGTTTCTTGACCATCTGGTACACAGCCAAGGCATCTGACCAGACCCCGATAAGATGGCAGTGGTCCAGTTTGCCACTCCCATCAGTGCTGGAGAAGTCCACTATTTATAGGTGATAGTAAACCAACTGAACAAATTTTCCCCTGATCTCGCAGACCACTCTCAGCCACTACGCGAACTGCTGGGGAAGGACAGGACATAGGGCTGGGCGAATGGGGAATGCACAACGACAGGCCTTTGAGAAAGTCAAACAGGTGTTGGTGGGCAGTCCAGTTCTCGCCATGTTCAATCCAAACCTCGAGACAATCCCCTCCACAGACGCATCATCCTCTGGCCTTGGAGCAGTGCTGGTCAAGGGCAAGCGACTGCCAGTGGCATACATTTCCAGGTCCATGACTCCCAGGGCAAGAAGATATGCCGGGATAAAAAGGGAAGCCTTACCCTTCACTTGGGCGTGCAAATGTCCTACCTCGTTGGACTCCAGTTTCACATACAGACGGACCACAAGCCACTCGTCCCGCTGTTCATCACCAACAATTGCCAGTTAGGGCAAAGCGATTCCGAAGGTGAATGATGCAATCAAACTTCATCATCAGCACTTGTATATACGGTACCTCTGCATGACGATGAATTCTGACCGTAGCTGATGCTACTATCACGCAGCAGTCCAGTGTCCACATCGTCTAGTGGTAGACAATCTCTTGATGAATAGTCATACTTCTAGGTCACCTTATGATAGGGAGCATTCTGCAATCGAGAAGCGACCTCTGCTGAATGACTCGTCGAGCGCATCTAATGAGAAGACATCCTGGTATGGGGCATGAGATCTGCCGAGTTCTGCCGGTCTGGCTTGCCTGTAGAATGATGCGACACGCTCTCAGGTTCCTCAAACCATACTTTTGCATCTCAGACAGTTCTCCATCGCAAACGGTATACTACAGCATGGAAAGAGGATCATGACCCACCTCCACTGAGACTGAGGAAGAAACTACTTTAACAACTCCACATGGAACCATACGGACA